TTATCTTTTTATAATATTAGAAAATAATATACATTCCATGGGCTAATTTATACCTCCAACTACTTATGAAAGGTAGTATTATATGGTGACTGAAAGTTCTAATCAGTGGAAGATTTTACTCCAAACATGCACTCTCATTAGCTATGTGAATTTAAGTAAACTATGTAACTTCTTTGGCCCTGACCTATAGCTTCCTTAACTGTAAATGTAAATAATATTAGTATCTACTTTATAAAGTTATCATGTCAATTAAACAACAACATATCTATAGGATAAAACTCATTGCACTTGAAACATTGTAGCTACTGGTATTGTTATTCCTATTATTAGAAAAAAAAGCAAAAGCACTAACTTTAAAATCCTGTGGTGTTTTTCTTTTGAAAACTGATGATCCTGAAAAGTGCAAGATATACAGAAATACATGCTACAGGTAGCAGGTAATATGAATAGGGCAAAAGTTGATGGGATTTCCCAAGTCACCTAAGAAATGTCTTTTCATGGAGGATGAGCCCTTGGAAGCAGGTATTGTATGTACACAATTCTATACTTACTTGGAGTCATTCTATCAGAAACTATGAAAATGAACTTTACTTACAATGTCTCACTCCATTAGACTCTCATTTATAGAAGTGAATATGCAAGCTATAATGGAATGCAGATAGTTTGAACAATCACTGCCAAACAATGCAGACTTTTTCCACTGTATTTCTCAGAAGGGGACCAATCATCCAAAATGAATGCTAAACTAGAAACTAGACAAGTCTTTCTTTACCAATAGTGTCCACAGATAATTATGAATGTGATTCATGCATTCAACAAACATTTATTGAATGCTTAGTCTACCCCAGGCACTATAGCACACCCAAAGACATAAGAGTATTTAGCACAGTACTTGGAGCAGTGGGTGTTCTCAGAGACCACATAGTCTACAGGAAGAGATGGATAATCACACTTCTATCAAGGAAGAAACACTCAGCAGACCTTCTAACCTGGGAGATAAAGATCAGGGCAGAAGGAGAAGAGATCCAGTGAGGTCTTTCTGGAGAATTCAACATTTAAGCAAAGGCCTGAATGCAGGTGAGACAGAGCAAAGGACAATTAAGGAGCTGAAAAACATTTTGTGTGGTTGAAGCAGGCATTTAGGGAGTAAAGCAGCATATGGAAGAGCTGTCTGTCTGTTTTGTTCTGTCTCTCTGCCTATAAATGAAGTGAAAAATAAGTAAGTTAAAAACAAAAAAAACAAACAAAAAAAAAGGAAACAGAAAGTCCGTTAGTTGTTACTTCGGACTGTAGAGAGGGGGAATATGAAATGAATACTATTGGCAAGAGATCTCTTTTAGGGAGAGCAATTAGATGTTGGTGATCATTGCACAACCCTGTGAATGCACTAAAAAGCACTGAATGATATACTTTAAAATGGTGAATTGAGGGCAGGCATTGTGGTACAGCAGGTTAAGCCATCCCTTGGGCATCCACATCCTATAACGAAGTGTCAGTTCACTTTTGAGCTATTGTTTCTCCCCAGCTTAATGCTAATGCAACAGATTACCTCTCAAGTACTTAGGTCCCTGCCACCCACAAAGGAGACCTGGATGGAGTTCCTGACTCTTGGCTTCAGCCTGGCCCAATCCCAGCTGTTGTAGGCATTTGGTATGAACTAGTGGATGGAAGACCTCTCTCTTTCTCTTCTGTCCCACTCCCTCTCCCTATTATTCTTCTTTTCAAGTACATGAAAATAAATAAAAATAAATATCTTTTTTAAAAAAAGGTGAATTATATGGCAAGTGAATTATATTTCAAGAAATCTGCTTTTAAGACTGTCTACATTAAGGCCGGTGCTGTGGCATAGTAGGTTAAGTCTCTGCCTGCAGCACCGGCATCCCATATGGTACTGGTTTGGGTCCCAGATGCTCTACTCCCAATTCCAGCTCTCTGCTGTGGCCTGGGAAAGCAGTGGAAGATGACCGAAGTGCTTGGGCCCCTGCACCCATGTGGGAGACCCGGAAGAAGCTCGTGGTTCCTGCCTTGGGATTACCCCATATCTGGCCATTGCAGCCATTTGGGGGGGGGGGGGGGTGAACCAGAGGATAGAAGCTTTCTGTCTGTATCTCCTTCTCTCTCTAACTCTGCCTTTAAAATAAATAAATCTTAAAAAAAAAAAAAAAGACTGTCTGCCATTCTGCTACTTTTATAGTACAATCAAAAAAAATTATGTTATGATTAATTTTAGTTTGATTCAAGGCTAACTGAATTGGTATAGACACCAGAAACAATTAGAAAATTAAATTTTGGGGCCAGGGCTGTGGCGCAGTGGGTTAATGCCCTGGCCTGAAGCACTGGCATCCCATATGGGTGCCTGTTTGAGACCTGGCTGCTCCACTTCCTGTCCAGCTCTCTGCTGTGGCCCGGGAAAGCAGTAGAAGATGGCCCAAGTCCTTGGGCCCCTGCACCTGCGTGGGAGAAGAAGCTGCTGGCTCCTGGCTTAGGATTGGCGCAGCTCCAGCCATTGTAGCCATTTAGGGAGTGAACCATCAGGTGGAAGACCTCTCTCTCTCATTCTCTCTCTCTCTCTCGCTGCCTCTCCTCTGTGTAACTCTGACTTTCAAAGAAATAAATAAATCTTTTTAAAAAAATTAAATTTTAATATGTTTACAATAGTATAAAACATCAAAAAATAATCTTAATGGAAGATGAAAAGTCAATCATAGGAAAGATCTACACACTTAACTATTTTATTTCAATAATGTTTTGTAAGGAATATCTAATAATTAAAGGCATATATTATTTTTATAGCTGTAATACACCTATTATTCCCAATTACATTGATTAACATCTTCAATGTAGTTCCATCAAACTCCTAGCAAGGTTTTTTCTTCTGTGTAGAAATTTGTATGAAATGCAAAAGAACATAAGTAACTTAAGCCAAAGAACTTTAACAGATAACACAACTGAATATATTGGAAAATTAAAACCATGAGAGAATGGCAAAAAAAAAAAAAAAAAAAAGAAAGAAAAAGAGATAAATAGAGCTGAATAGAGGATCCTTAAAAGCTGTACAGGTATGGATATTGTCATCTGGTTTATGGCAGAAGAGAAACCACAGTGCAATAAATGGTGCTGGATCAACTGATGATATAAAAAACTTGCCCTAGACTCTTAGCTTACAATATATATAAAAATTAACTAAATATGAATTATTGATATAAATATAAAAAGTAAAATAGCTAAATATTTGAAGGGAAACAACAGAGTATCTTTAAGATCTTAAAATAAGCAAACATTTCCTAACCTAAATAGAAAAAGTCTCAAATATAAAAGAAAAGGTTGACAAAATGGAGCTTCTGTTCATTTACAGGAATCATGAAAGTGTGAACCACCAAGTCACAGAGCGGGAGGATACATTTTTAGTGCAAATATCAAACAAAGAATCCATATCCATAATACATAAAGAAACTTTATTTTAAAAAAAGAAAATCTTTTTTTTTAAAAAAAAAAGGTGGCAAAATACTCCAACAGGTACTTAAAAAAAGATGTTATCTCAATCAGCAAGAAACCTATGAAATGGTGTCCAATTTCGTTATTTTCTTTGGGAAAATAAAAACTACATGCACAAGGGATATGACTACATACCTATAAGAAAGGCTAAAATAAAAGAAGACAAAGTACCGCACGCTGCCCAGGGCACAGGACAAGAATGCTGCTAGACGGAGGGAGCTAAACTGGCACACAATCCGCTAAAGCTGCAGATATGCACACCCAGGACTAGGCATAGGTTTTTATTTGTCTAAACTACATAAAATATTCATTAAGAAATAACTATTATGGAGAGTGGGCATCGAGCCTATCAGTGAAGACACTCTCAATTCCTCATCAGAGTACCTGGGTTCTCTACACAGCTCCAGCTCCTGACTCTAGTTTCCTGCAAATGCAGATGAGAGGCAGCAGTGATGACGCAAGTAACTGGGTCCCTGCCACTCACATGGGAGACCTGGAATGCACTCCGGGCTCCCTGCTTCAGCCTCTACTATTGGAGGCTTTGTGGGGAGTGAACAAGCAACCTCTCAAATAATTAAGTAATTTTTTTAAAAAATGAAAGAAATGTGCACTAGAATGTTCATGGAAACATTAACTATAATAATCCCAAACTGGAAATGACTCTAAACCAACAGCAGGAATAAATAAATAAATTGAGGTTCATATAATGGAATACTATTTGTGATCAAGAATGAACGAGCTAAACCACATGAAGGTAAGGATGACTTTTATAAAGAGAGTGCTGAACAGAGTGAGCACATAAAATGCATGTGTCAGATTCTATTCCTATAAGTTCCAAATTTCGGCAAAACCAATCTTTTTTTTTTTTTTTTGACAGGTAGAGATATAGATAGTGAGAGAGAGAGACAGAAAGGTCTTCCTTCCCCATATGGCCACTACGGCTGGCGCTGCGCCGATCCAAAGCCAGGAGCCAGGTGCTTCCTCCTGGTCTCCCATGCGGGTGTAGAGCCCAAACACTTGAGCCATCCTCCACTGCCTTCCCAGGGCCACAGCAGAGAGCTGGACTGGAAGAGGAGCCACTGGGACTAGAACCCGGCACCCATATGGGATGCCGGCACTGCAGGCGGAGGATTAACCAAGTGAGCCACGGCGTCAGCCCCGAGAAAAACGAATCTTTGACCCAGTAACTCAGGGCAGTGGTCACCCTGTCTAGAGAGCGGGTGAATGGAAGGGAACATGAGGCATCTTCAGGGGTTTTAGGGTCTGGTCATGTTATTTCTAAACGGAGACTCTGCTTACCTGGGTGTGTAAACTTTGTAAAAAATCCAGTTATACATACACAAGATTTTGTACACATTTCGGTAAGAACCAACTTCAAAACACTTCAAAAACTACTGAAAAAATGAAAGAGAAGTCTAGTAGCACGTTGACACAGATGACTGAGCCCATGGAGAAAGAAAAGGGAAACTACTGAGTGAGGAGATGTGTGTGGGATTCCCACTTACCTTTGTCCTGCAATGCAATTTGTTTCTTATGCAGCAATGCCACCTCCCGTCCCAAAGCTTTCTTCTGTCTTTCCAGTTCATTTTGAAGCACCAAAATTTTTAATTGCAGACATTCACTTTCTTTTTTCTAAATAAACAAAATCATATACAAATTTGTAGGTACAGAAGTCATAACTAAATGGTTATACATTTGCAATGTTTCAAAGTGAGTAATAGCTTAAAGCACTAAAACAGTCATCAATTCTATGGCTCTTTTGAGTAACCAGATTACCAGCCACCATCACATTAATGGAAAGAATACAGAAACAGGCAAAGAATAACAGTAGAAACAAATTTTAACTCTAGGGACAGTTTGAAGAACCAAAAAGACACTACAAAATATCTCAGGTTCCTTCCTTCACATCAGAAAAAAAAAAAAGGCAAGAAATTATTAATTAAAAATAAGTACAAATTGCCAAAACTTTAAGCATAGGGGCCAGTGCTGTGGCACAGGGTGTTAAAACCCTGGCCTGCAGCACTGGCATCCCGTGTGGGCGCTGGTTTGAGTCCCAGCTATTCCACTTCTGATCCAGCTCCCTGCTAATGTGAAAGCAGCGGAGGATGACACAAGTGCTTGGGGCCCTGCAACCACATGGGAGACCTGGAAGAAACTCTTGGATCCGGCTTTGGATAGACTCAGCTTCAACTGTGTTGAAAAGTGAACCAGTGGTTGCAGGACCTCTCTTTCTCTCACTCTCTCTCTCTCTTTCTCTCTCTCTCTGTCTCTCTGTAACTCTTTCAAATAAATAAAATACATCTTTAAAAAAAAACTTAAGCATATAATTACCATAGAATGGTCTAGCAATTCCACTCTTTGCTATATATCTAGGGGAATCAATAGCACACCCACAGAAACACCTGAACACAAATGTTCAGAGCAGCAATTATTACTCAATAGAGCCAAAAGTGCAAAGAATCCAAGTGTCCATCAGCTGACATATGAATACACAAAATGTAGTATTTCCATACAATTGAACATTATTCTTATTTAAAAAAAAACATAAAACAAAAGTTAGGTACTGATACATTCTACAACATAAACAGTGAAAACATTATGCTAACTGAAAGAAGTCAACTTACAAACGCCACATAATGGGTGGACATCTGGCCCAGCACGCCACATCAGAGTGCCTGAGTTCCAAACCCACCTCTGGCTCATGAATCCAGTTTCCTGGTACTGCAAATCCTGGGAGGCAGTAATCATGGCTCAAGTAATTGGGTTCCTGCCACCCGCATGGGAGACCTGGACCTGGATTAAATCCTTGACTCCCAGCTTCAACCTCAGTCTACCCTACGGTTGGGGGAATTTGAGAGTCAATCATTGAATGAGAGAACTCTCTCCATGTCTGTCTCTTTCTTCTCTCTATCAAACAAAATTTTTTTTTTTAAAGGCCAAGGCTCTGCGGCTCACTAGGCTAATCCTCCGCCTGCGGCACCGGCACCCCAGGTTCTAGTCCCGGTTGGGGTGCTGGATTCTGTCCCGGTTGCTCCTCTTCCAGTCCAGCTCTCTGCTGTGGCCCAGGAAGGCAGCGGAGGACGGCCCAAGTGCTTGGGCCCTGCACCCGCATGGGAGACCAGGAGGAAGCACCTGGCTCCTGGCTTTGGATCGGCGCAGCGCCAGCCGTAGTGGCCATATGGGGAAGGAAGACCTTTCTGTCTCTCTCTCTCACGTCTAACTCTGCCTGTCAAAAAAAAAAGAAAAAAAAAAAAAGGCCAAGGCAACATATTGTACAATTCAATTTATTTGAAATGGCTAGCACGGGCAGACCCAAAGGAACAGAAAGTAGATTTCAATTCTTGCCAAGCTGAACTAAGGTGCTCATATCTCTTGCCCAATACAGAAAAGCCCACAAAGGGAACTGTAGCATTCCTCCCTGCTAGGCAATAACCAACCAAGTGCCATGTATTGTCTGGTCTTTTACCACTCTCCTGGCAGTAACATGGTAAACCAATTGTTCCCCCACTGGAAGTGTTAATTACTTCCCTGAAGGTAAGGATGACTTTTACAAATATAATACTGAAGATGTTAGGAAATTAATGAATTGGGGCAGAGAAGGGTATATTGGAACTCAATTTTCTGCACAATTTTTTATAAATTTAAAAAGTTTAATTTTGGGGCCAGCATTGCAGCATGGTAAGGCAAATTAAGCCACCACCTGTGGTCATCATCCAGCTCCCTGCTAATGACGTGAGAAAGCAGCAGAAGATGGCCCAAGTCCTTGGGCCCCTGCACCCATGTGGGAGATCCAATTGAAACTCCTGGCTCCTGGCCCCAGCCATGGCCATTGCAGCATCTGGGGAGTAAACCAGATGATCTCTTTCTAATTCTGCCTTTCAAATAAATAAATAAATCTTTAAATAAAAGGTTTAGTTTTTAAAAAGTCACAGAAGTAGCCACCAAAAAAGTCAATTTTACTGAATGATTATTCAATAAAACAAAGTTATAGCCATTCTGCCAGTCAGAGATACAATTAAGTTTGTTATCTTACTTCATAAAAATTTCCTACGTAAACTTATATGGAAGCATGGTTTAAGAGCTAGCGCTGAGGCATGGTAGGTAGAGCATCCCATATGAGCACCGGTTCAAGACCCGGCTGCTCCACTTCCAATCCAGTTCTCTGCTATGGCCTGAAAAAGCAGTAGAAGATGGCCCAGATGCCTGGGCCCCTGCACCTGCCTGGGAAATCTGGAAGAAGCTGCTGGCTCCTGGCTTCGGATCGGTGCAGCTCCGGCTGTTGCAGCCAATTGGGGAGTGAACTAGCAGATTGAAGACCTCTCTCTCTCTCTGCCTCTCCTTCTCTCTCTGTGTAACTCTTTCAAATAAATAAGTAAATCTTTAAAAAAAGCATGGCTTATACATTCAGACTGCCCTTTTCACCTAGTACTCTGGTTAAATTGGCCTCTAAATACAAACATTTGAAATCATGCTGCCACAATGAACATACATGTGCCTGCACATGTGTGTATTCACACACAATTATTGCACTATGAATAGACATGCTCTTCTCTCCTGGTCATAATTCTCCATAACATAAATCTTAACCAAATGGCAATTTCGCCATACCTAGTAAATTTTGTCTCCTTTCTAGAGTACAGAGTAACTGATTAAAATTATAACAGAAGGAAAAAAATACGAAAAATGCATTTGTTAAGTAAATCACATAGGTTTCCAAGACCTGGGATAAGCTGGCAGAGAACTTCAAAAGGAAAAGGACAGTGTCTTGATTTGATTCATAGACAGAGAGGAAGCCTGGGAACTAAGAGAGGTGCTTCACAATATGGCCTTGTAGAAGCAATGGGCATGGAAAATGATTCTTGGCAGTTGTGTTGAAAGTCCTTTACATCAGTCATTTCTCACCCAAAATGCTTTCTTCCTCATCCTTGAGACACTGATTCTAAACAGATGGCATGATAATCCGTTAAAGACATTCAAGCCAAGAAAACAAGCAGAAAAGCTTATTTTCAATCATCATTATTATTACGGCTGGCTTGGCAGGTCTATGAAATATGCCTTTATAGAGAATGTTCCTAAGCAGTTTTTCTGAGCAAAGCAAACATGTATGAGGGATCTGCTGTGTGATTTTGGGGGAATGAAAAATGGTTTCTGCTTTCTATGACTTTAGATTTACTGGAGACAAAACCCACTTTTCCCCAAGAGACCACTGTAAAACAAAGCCCAAAAGTCAGTTGGTTCTAAAACAAGGAAGCAATCTAAGTGTTCATGTATAGATGAATAGATAAGCAAAATGTGGTATACAATAGAGTAGTATTCAGTCAAGAAAAAGGAAATTCTACAACATGGATGAACGTACAGGACATTATACTAAGACAAACATGCCAATCATAAAATGACATATATTCCATTTATATAAGAGTAAGCAGTAGTCAAAAACATAGAGATTGTAAGTAGAATGGAGGGTGCCAGGATAGCGAGCAGCGGGAAATAGGAGCATTGAATGGGTCTAAAGGTTTAGACTGACAGATGAAGAGAGCTTTGGAGATAGATGGTACTAACAGTTGTATGACACTGTGAGTGCACCAAACTGCTTTACAATGTTTGAGATTATGTGTATTTTATAATAAAGATTTGGGGTAATGAAGAGTCAGTGAGGTTGCCTATCATGAAAAGGAAAGAATGAACCAAGAAAAATCTAGGATTTCCTTTAGCAATCCAACAGTAGGATTGGGTGTTCCTGTATCACTGATGAAAAAAATTAGTGAAGATTTGGTAAGCGATCATTTTCTACAAAGAGCAAGATATTCAACTCCCTGAACTTGAAAATTTCCATAAAATATGCAAATTGAATTGCACCAAGCCAGGACTACTCAGAGAACAGTCATCTGCTGTGATAAGGGGCTAACCTGTTCTACCCCAGCGTACACATTTAAATTGGGATATGTTTTTGAGAATCAAAGAACTAAGGTTACAAGTCAATCTAAATACTAAGCTAATACAGGAAGATGTGTGTTTATTATGCTTGTGTTATGGTCCATTGTAGAAACTGAGTCAGTTACAAAACTTTATCAATTCATTAAGAACCAGGATTACTGGCTGTGGTTTCTGATGAGTAGAGTAATCAAACTCTGCACATAGGATCTGCTTCTACTTTCTCCCAAATACCTCAAAGACAAGTTGCTCTGGTTCAGTGTTGTGGTACAATGTATTAAGCAGTTGCCTGCAAAGCCAGCATCTGCTATCAGAGTGCTGGTTCATGTCCCAGCTAATCTGCTTCTGATACAGTTCCCTGCTCATATGCCTGGAAAGCAGCAGAAACCAGCCCAAGTCCTTGGGCCCCTGCCACCCATGTGGGAGACCTGCATGGAGTTCTGGGCTCCTGACTTCAGCTTGGCCAAGTCCTGGATGTTATGTTCATCTGGAGAATGAACCAGTGGATGAAGGATCTCTGTCTGTCTCTTCCTCTATGCCACTCTGCCTTTCAAATAAGTAAAATGAATCTTTATATTTCCAATAAAATAACCACCATCCTATAAAAAATAAAAAGAGAAGTTGCTTGAAGATCTTAACATCCCATAAATATCTTTGTAGGTACCTATGTGTTTACTCCAAGTATATTCAATGTCACATAT